AAAAGAGTCAAACCTACTTTACAAATTTGTTGGAGAAATAGCTGTGGGCAGCTTTTTTAAAAAAAAAAATTGTGCATCACCCTTACAGGTTCTGTCTTGTATTATTTAGGACATTGGCCAGGCAATCACTGGACAGCCAGTTTGCTCTCCTTTACATTTTTTAGAATGGTTGTCTTATGGTCAAAGGAAAGAAGGCCTTTGGAAAATAAAGCAGTGTATTTACAAGTAATCATACAGGATAGTTTTGTGGGGAAAATAAAGAACAGTTATTTAATTTGTAATTTTATCATTTTTCTTAAACGAACCCAAGACAAACTATTTAATCATTTTTGTAGTTTAATTTGTCATGTAATAGTTTTCCTTAAGCCAACCTAATAAACATGAATTGGACTGTTTATTTTTGTTTTTAAATTGGTTGTACTTACATCACAAAAGACTTGAAAAGTCTTATACATAATAAAATGATAAAATGTAAATTAAGACATTTGCAACCACAATGGAAAAACACAAATTTATAAATGAAGGCAAGGTTTGCAAGCAAAATGTAATTGATAAACGGAGACCATCAGCAACCCCACCACCAGCTACAGTAAGACAAATGAAAAATCCTGTAACGTTAATGCCTGAAATAGTTACCACCCTTAGCAGCAAATTAGAGTTTAATTTGGAAAAAAAAATATTTATTGCACTGAGTTCAGAGAGGGAAAAAGATGAAATAATTAGAGGCAAAAAAGAACTGGAATTTGGACGTTGTCTCTGAGGAAGCTCTTTGAGATACTGGGCAAGTAATTTCCTTCTGAATACTCTGATATTGACATAGAAGCGTCAGTGTTTTAAACGAACCTCTTTGAAGGCTACTAGAATGCTTTAGGGATACCAGATTACTACAGTAAAACTGCCAGTTTGAGAGAATAACTGTTTCCTAAGAGATGGTCTGAAACCTAAGTAAGGAAATCCCCCCCTTGAAAGCCCCTAGCAAGTTAATTGCTATTGTTGAATTATCTTAGGTCCCAAAAGTCCCTGATGAGCACATCTTTTGTAATAGGTACTAAAGACTACTCACTTATCATGAAAAATAAAATAACACAATTTAAAACTTGAAATTGATAAAAAGCCCAAATTTAGGACAGTGAACCCATTCCCTTCTTCTTTTTCAATAGGTAAATATAGAAAAAATGACCATATAATGTGAAACAAAAAGCAAACATTTAAAAACTACATTTACACATTATCTCACCGCACTAATGTAAAAAATTTTAATTTTACTTAAGAGCTTCCTAGCCTTGTCTACACATATACACAATTGCATATTTAACTTGAGCTACGTATAATCTGCTTTTTGTTCCTTTGCATGTTACAAAAACCTTTTTCTATTTCTGCATAATTTTTATCTCATATTTTTATTGGGTACATTATAGAGAGGGCATTTATTAAATGAGCTGGGATTGCTATATAATATATAATTTTTTATATAATTTATAATTTATATAATTTATATATTATATTTTATATAATTATATATAATTTTTATCATTTAATTTGTTTATTATTTTTATAATTTACTATTAAAAACATTTCTTAAATGTACTGGGATATATATGATTTTTTCTTATTACTAAAAAATTACTTACGGAACTTATATATGAAAATTGTGGTACTTATGATGAAAAATAATGTAATTAGATAATTTAAAACTTGAAATTGATGTAAAGCTACATAATTTTGTATATTGTACCTTAAAGTACAATACTGCAAGAACCTTAGTGTAGTTTTCTATTCTTTTTGCTGTGTGTGTGTGTGTGTGTGTGTGTGTGTATATATATTCACAAAAGTAGAAAAATAACATTTAACTAATAAATCTTCTTCATTTTCTGGAAAATCCTTGCTTTAAAAAAAAAGTCTTTAGCTTTTTATATAGACTTCTAACACTGATTAAATATCTTCAATTCAGTCTCAAGCAGGAACGAATCATTCAGTCCACTTGCCTACCTTTATTGTTTTTCAAGTGACAGTGTGAGTAGTAAAGCCCAAATGAGAGAGCCCAAATCTGACTTTTGTAAGATTGGTAACTTCATCTTCCCCAGAAGGAAATGAGGTGATTCTTCCCTTTGATCACAGCTGCCTTCCTCCCCATCACCTACATCTGGTGCTTTCTTGATTTGAAGTAAACTTGTACAACCCCGTCATCCCCATCTATAGGCATTTAGAAATGGCAATCATTGTCATATAGGACAACTGACCTCTGTCCCACTAAGTGGAAGCAATAGTGAATTTAGCATAAGATTATACCTTTAGGCTGGGCTGGCGACTCGCGCCTGTCACCCAGCACTTTGGGAGACCCACGGTAGGTGGATCATGGATCACTTGAGGTTAGGAGTTTGAGACCAGCCTGGCCAACATGGTAAAAGCCCATCTCTACTAAAAATACACAAATTAGCTGGATGTGGTGGCACACCTGTCATCCCAACTACTTGGGAGGCTGCAGCAGGAGAATCTCTAGAACCTGGGAGGTGGAGGTTGCAGTGAGCCAAGATCATGCCAGTGCACTCCAGCCAGGGTGTCTGAGTGAGACTGTCTTAAAAAAAATGAAAGAAAGAAAGAAGAAAGAAAGAAAGAGAAAGAAAGAAAGAAGAAAGAAA